TGTGTGTGTGTGTGTGTGTGTGTGTGTGTGTGTGTGTGTGTGTGTGTGTGTGTGTGTGTGTGTGTGTGTGTGTGTGTATTTCGATTTCGGAGTGTGAATGGGCCAAAAAAACTACAAAAAAAGGCATTGAGATATTGAAGCAGGTTTTAATCAGATTGGTTGTTGCTGGGTTATTTCTCAATTACACTGAAATGTCGCATATCATGATTTAAAGCCACACTTCGGCTTTTAGTGAGATCCTTGAATCTTAATGACGTCTCTCCAGCTCTTTAATTTCTCCCTCCTCAACAGCACCCCTGCAGATAACATCTCTGTTCTTTTGACATACCTTATACATCTATTTTTAGTTCTTTTTTATTTTTCGGTTTCAGTTTCTCAGCTCCATCTTTTCAGAACTTTTTCCACACTAAACTCGAGCGCCGGAGCGCGCAGGGAAGGTAGGGGAGGTCCCGGTTGCGTAAAGATATTTTATTGGACGACACAGTGTCGATAATGAAAATGAACGAATAGGCTGCTCACTCTTCGGGGGCCCTTGAACTGATCCACCGCCCTGCCTGTGAAATTCCCTGTGTGCCAAATTACCACTCCAGCCCTGGTAACAGTAAGTTCTGAACTTTCAGTACTATGTTTTTAATCACAGGCTTTATGTTTAAGGATCACTGTGACGTCAGACCGTCAGACTCTAAATGATGGAAGTAAAAGGCGAACTCTCCGGTCCGCACTTTCTAACCATGACAAAAAGTCGTTACCAGTGAAATCAGAGTATTGAACATGTAACCAAAAGTAACACGCGCATGAGTGAGTGAATACGCTGAGTGTTACCTGTGCGGGAGACCGGCCAGGTAGGTGAATAAGGCCATCGTCGATCCTGCTGCGGGACACGCACGGTGCAGTCGAAAGACGTGTGGCGCCGCGATGAGCCTAGTAACAGCTGACTCTGAGTGACGTCAACACAAACGTGTGGCCGGATTTGTTTATTATATACAGTTTAATGTGCAAGCTATTAGTAAAACATTAAAAGGTGAACAGACAGCAGGCCTATGAATAAACAACAATGACGACAAACTATCAAACCAACAAAGTGAACCTAACATCACGTTAAAATCAATCATAAAGAAAGAAAGTGATTTATTTTAAAATGATAGCGAAACTAAATTAGATATAGAACTTACCTAACATTGGATTCCTAAAAGATCTTTTCGTATGCTTGTCTGATAAAGCGTTTGTTATGAGGTGAACAACTATTTAGAGACAGCCCATCTCAGTGACTAATACACTCTGAACTCACCTGACTTTAACAGAAACCGAAGGAGCTCTTCAGACTCACACACCAGACAAACACAATGTGCAGGTACAGCTTGTCCGTCCGCTCACCTGCAGGTGAGTTGGGGGTTATCAAATTAAATCACTCCAAAAAGCAGCAGAAGACCGTGAAAGACTTGAAGATGAAAGCAGCGCAACTGTTTCCAAAGAAAGGTAAGCCCAAAAACTCAAAACATATCAGAAGAGAAACTATAAAGAGAAGAAATAGTAGTGAAGCTATGTGTCGAGCGATCGTGTTGCAATCTAATGAAAATCAAGTGACACAAATGACACGGACTCATTCAAATGTCCTCATTTATTTCAAGAATCTTATATCTTTTTTAAACTGTATCAAGTGTTTATTGTCAAAACTCTTTCGGTTCAGTTTGGTGTTCATTATGTTCCGTGTCAGTTTCAGTTTGTTTTATTGTTATGTGAGGTTTTTGTGTCGTGCAAAAACCACGAAGCACAATAATACGACACAACTTCAAATACACATTCAACTGGATATCTCAGTGTTATTGTGTTTTCGTCGCACAAACTGTGAGAGCACACTTTGGTTTATAAAGCGGGTGAAATAAATGTTTTTCACACTAAGTTTAGTTTTAGTTGAGCAGTGGCCAAAGTCATGTGCTCTCTGAGTGCAACTTAAAAATAACAACCTTCAGTGGTGTTCAGAGACATGATATAATTATTTGTGACATGTTTAAATATTTAGTGAGGTTCTCTCTCTCCTGTGTTGTGTGTGTAGGATATCTTGTGGCTGAATTCCGGCTGATTGTCTCAGGAAAGCCGCTGGACGATGACTCTGCATCTCTGTCAGAGTATGGGATCAAACCCTCGTCCGTGGTGCAGATGGTGGCGAAGGTCCACGGAGGCTGACAGATATCATCATCGATGAACTTAACTCCATCCAAAAAATTCACCTCAGGACTGGAATGTGATAAACCAAAGGACGCAATGCATCATCTTTGCTAGCTGGGACTGTGTCATCTTTGATCTTTGGTTCTCTTCTACACTTTTGTGTCTTCCTTTAGATTTTAAGACTTTTATCATACCTATATAGACTTCAGCACTAATTTATTATCACAAGTTGTAAAATAGGGCATAATAACATTTCTTTTTTTTTATTTCTCTTTTTTTGTTTCGTTGATAGCCTGTGTAACTTACTATTAGTTGAAATACCAAAAGCTGACAACAAATGTACGGTTACGCAGCAGCCCCATGAATATCAATGTTCCTAAAAAAAATGGTTAATATTTAGTTATCTTGACTTTCCAGCTGATTCTCATAAATGCTCTGCTTTCATCTTGTTTAAAAATAAATGCAATGATTATTGAATTTAACCCCTTGTGCTCATTTGTAGCTCTGTATATTTATTCTTGGGTTCTTGTTGAGTAGCCTTGCTTTGCTTAGCTAAATATACCCTGCACAAAAAAGTAATTCATTCCCCATAAACATGATAACTGGACTGCATCAAAAACTGCAATCAAGCGTTTGTGAGTCTTTTACATCACTGTGGAGGAATTTTGGCTACATTGCAGGGTTTACAAGCATTAGCATCCTGTTTAGGGTCATGCATCTTAGAGCAACTCAATCTGATTTAAGTCCAGACTTTGACTCGGACACTCCAAAACCTTTATTTTTTTTTTTATCTACTCAGAGGTGGACCTGCTGCTGTCAGTTCATTGTCCTGATGCATAACACAAGTGAGCTTCATGGGATGGGATGAACTGATGGTTGGACATTCTCATTTAGGATTTTCTCGTAGAGAGCAGAATTCATGGATTCATCAGTTACAGCAGGTCATCCTGAAGCACCAAAGCAGTCCAGACCATTACACTGCTACCACCACGTTTAACTGTTGGCATGATGTTCTTTTTATGAAATGCAGTGTTACTTACTGTGAGCAATAAATAACACTGTATGTTTATTATAGAGGCATTTTGCAGGCAGAAAAATAACAAATGTATTCTATGGTAACATTTATATAAATCTTTTGTTGTGTATTAGGCAGTAGCTGTTGATTACCTGCCAAAATCCTATCTCAATAGTTCACTTACTATGCAGGCTGCATGGTATTCAAAATGATTTGTCTCTAACTGGGCGCACCTGTGAGTGCTCTAATTAACACGCCTCGTGTACAGAGTGAACAGTGCCATCTGGTGGCTGAAGGTGAAAATACAAAAACACATTTTTTCTACTTTGATTTAGCATAACAAGGTTTCAAGAAACTAAACATTGATTTCTTTAAACATTTTACAAAAAAAACTAAGCAGTCAAAACAAGAAAGAAAAGTCTGACCTGAGTAGTATAATAATAATAATGGATTGGATTTATATAGCGCTTTTCAAGGCACCCAAAGCGCTTTACAATACCACTATTCATTCACTCTCACATTCATACACTGGTGGAGGCAAGCTACAGTTGTAGCTACAGTTGTAGCCACAGCTGCCCTGGGGCAGACTGACAGAAGCGAGGCTGCCATATTGCGCCATCGGCCCCTCTGGCCAACACCAGTAGGCAAGTAGGGTAAAGTGTCTTGCCCAGGGACACAACGACCAGGACAGAGAGCCCAGGGATCGAACCGGCGACCTTCCGGTTACAGATGCGATTCCCAACCCCCTGAGCCACGGTGCTAAAGTGCTAAATATCCCGAAGCTAATGCTAAAGAAGCAGCAGACAACATAAAATAACTAAATGTTGAGGAAAAAGATGAGTACACACAGAATGTATGATTAACTTTACTTCAAATTTATGACTGAATAACATTTTTCAGGTTCATTGTCGTTATGATTCAGACATAATGCAGCCGTAAAGATCACATGTGGTAGCAAATTTCTCATCAAGAAAAATCAACACTGATTATATCTGATAACTGTTCCAACAGAACAGAGAATTATCAAAAGATAATTAAAAGAAACAACATGGTATATTATTACAGAAAAGGCACTCTCACACACTTGAGCTTTGTGTCTTTTTCATTATTTTTTCTGCCATACAGGTATCGATGTCTGTCTGGGAGCTACACGACTGAAGCATGCTCCAAAGTAGTCACTGGTTTTAATACATTTAGTATAGCTCTTCAGGCACACAAAACAGAACTTCACCTTACATCGAGGACAAACAACAAATTTACAGCGCCTCTTGCTGTGCTCTACCAGGAACCCACAGGTGGGACAGGCACGGACAGAGGGACACCCGCGGACTTCCTCAACTGAATCAAAGGTGATATCTGGGCATACTTTTAGTGTTTTTAGTGAGTGGTTACAGCAGCCATCATTTTCACAGCGGTCTGTCCGAGGCCGTGGACCCTTCCACTCCCTCAAACACTGCCAGCAGAATTCAAAGGTCTGTCCTTTTACTGCTGTGCACTCTTTACAGAGGACATTCAAGTCTGATCCATTCTCTCTCATCACAGTGGATCTGCATACAGGACACTACATGGAGACAAGAGAGTGGCAACATTTAATACATAACAAAATTTTTATAATCAATATAATATGTTAATTAGATACTTACAAATCTGGTAACAAGTGTCTGCCTGGCGACGTTGAATGTCAATGTTCTTCGGAAATACTTAGTTTCTTGAGGGTCCAGAAGAGCCATTTTACAAACCTCGGCAAAAGTCCACTCAGCACTACAACCAGACCCGCCACACACAAACCTGCTTTCACCCTTTATTGAAATAGTAAACGAGAAATTATTTATTAGACTCATTTTGTAAACAAACCACCAAAGACTATGATGAATTGGAATTAAAGCATTTTTACCAGTTAAACTAAAATTATTATAACTATAAAAACTATATTTTGGGTAAGAGCTACAGTGGTATTCACTAACCTATCAGCTTATGAAACATATCGTATAATAAACAGATTTATCATTGTGCCATTATGTCCATGTTGTAGCACATAGAAATGTTGAGTTAATATTTGCAGATACATTATCCATGTAACTATGTCTTCGCTTTAACTTTTGTTGAAAATGTGATTTATGTAATACTGAGAAGATCATTTCAAGTTTGTGGAATATTTTTTTACACTGGTAAACTAATGTGATTAAATCATAAGCATATCTTAATTAAAGTATAATATAAGTGCAGGTTTAAGTGCAGTGGTGTGCAGGGCTTATGGGGATGCTGATGACATGCAAGTCATTGTGTCTATATCAAGCTTTTAGCCTAATGGTAAGGAGAAATATGTGTGTCTTTCTTTAACATTCAGCTGCTTAGAGATTATTTGAGATCAACAATGACTCATAAGCTAGAACCAACACTTTGGTTTTCCAACACAGATAGATGAATGGCAACAAAGGTAAAGACTTCACTGAAGGAAAGATGTATGAAGATGCAAGCTGGTGTCAAAAGAAGGACTTGACAGGCTCAGAAAAGTCAAAAACAGTGAGATATCTTGCAGAGGG